ATACATATACTACCGCCTGCTGGTTTGTATTATGTATATTTTGATTTCTTTTAAAATAACTATCAATATAAAATATGAAATTAATAAAAAAAAATCGAACCATGTAATTAGCGAACGATAGAGTTATTTTTTATTCACGTGTTTTTTCATTTTTAATATTATTTAAGATACATCTGAATATATTTTAAATTAAGATACATTACGTCCGCCCCTGGAGTCGCATGGGGAAATATATATATATATATATATATATTTATTTTTTTTCTTAGTTTAAAAATATAAAGTTTTTTAATTAAATTTTATTTTTAATAGAATAATTATTATTTTTAAATTAATCTCATTTTTTATATTTATTTTTATTTAATAAGGTATTTCATCTTAAAAAAAATATAAAATGATCTATTTAATGGGAATATTTTAAAAAAATGATTACACCTGAAAAAAATAAAAATATTTTATATTTTTTAATATTTATTTTTTTTATAAAAATTTTATATTTTTTAACGTAAAGAATATATATTATCATGGTAAAAAAACGTAGTATTAGTTTATGTTGTTGATCAAAACATTCTTCTTTCTTTTGGTAGACTATTCTATTCCATTTTATTTGAGGATACTGTTTATTAACAGTCACGAGTGTTAGGATGTATATAATTAGTACATTAATATCAGTTTACAAATAACTATGGACCCAAAATTATTAAATAACTTCACATAATAACGGGAGGCTCTTCACAGTTCTTCACAACGATTCTCTATTTTTTTCACTTTCTCTAATCGTTTCTGATAAATCACTAAATAGAAAAATTATTTAGTTCATATATACACTACAATATCTCATCTGGTCCGCTTTATTAGAAATAAACGATGCTAGAGGCTTTTTCTGAGTCTGAACTCTGAATAAGTGAATGTGAGAAACAACTACTTTCCTTGTATTTATGGAAAATTTCTCTTCTACCCTTATGAAGTTAACATAATTAAGTTAGCACCATGAAATATTCAATTCAAAATACAATATAAAGCATTTTCTAAAATCTTTACTTAGTTTAAAAATACAAGACATTGAGTAATTTTATAATCATTTTTCAACTTAACCCCTACTTCATTTATTACATTTTTCTTTAAATGACATGAGAATTTTAATGAGGGTTTGATTGGAAACATGCAACTTTTTTAAAAAAAATTAAGGTTTTAACTAATATTTTTTTAGTACTGTGGATTAATTAGCAATACCTTATATTTTAGTTCAAAGGAAATACATAATTACTGCATCAAAAAACCAATAAAGGTCTTGAGGAAAAAAATCTCACATATATTCATTAATTTAATTGTATTTTTTTTTTATAAAAAAGAAAAGAAAAAAAAATTAATGAATATTTCTTGATTATGTGAAACGGTTATTCATTTTTTATAAGAACATTTAGAGGGAAGTGCACTATTTTTTTATTAGATTAAACTTCATAATCTCTATTTTTTGCTGAATTATTGACATGGACGCGCTAATAAAATTCATAGCAAAGCTTAATTAAATTACCTAATCAACGCAGTCACCGAGCCACGCTTTTCCATGATCTTCATTGTCTAGATTTAATATAGAGTAGCGAGTCAAAGGATACCTTGTTGCTAGATTTCATTCTAATGTTAGTTACTTATCCTTGAGAATCACTGAAGTTATTGGCATAATTCAAGGCTTAAAAAAATGTACCAAGACCTTTTGTTTTCACAAATTGTGCTAAGGCCGTCCACTTGCTTACAAAAAATGAAGTTAGTCAACACCTATTCAAAGACATTATTGAATATTCTTCTAATACTTTACTCCCTCTATTTTTAAATATAAAAAAATTATTATGTATTTCTTTGTTTTTATTTATAAGTAAAATTATAAATTTCAAGAAATATTTATCATATTTTTCTTAGACCATTCTTCATAAAGTCAATATTTATTTTTATTAAATCAATTTATTTCATTAATTATAAAAATAATCTACATTTTAATTTCATATATAATTATTATACCTAACCAATTTTTTAAAATTGTATGAATTGATTTTTTTTCTTTTTTAATATTTGAAACGGAACGAGTGCTTAGGTTTTTGTTTTTCTTCTGAGAGGATTGAACAAATGAGTCAATTCAAGTCTACGATTGGAGGGACACGATCCAGCTGACAACCAAGCTAACCCCAATATCAACATTTTTTTAATTTTATTTTATGGTATTCTCTCCTATTCTATTTATATATGGCTTCCGAATTGTGTAAATGAAACTAATAAAAAAATTTAAATCTCATCAATTCTTTCAAAAAAGTCCACAAGTTTTTAATTTTATTTTTATTAAATATACAATTATTTTTCACAAGTTAAATGTTGTGTTCAACAAAATCAAGTGTGTCAAAAACTTGGAATTTTAAATATAACCATAGAGTCCTTGGATTTTTTCACCTCAATTCACTCAAATGCAAAGTTACAAAAGATTGGTTGTAAAAGGTATTTTTAATTAATGCAAAATAAGGTATAAAGTTATAGTGATTATAATTTATGAATTAAAAATAAATCTAAGTCTAGGTACGAAATACAAGGTAAAAAATTGGAAAAATATGTGGTTTCTAGTGTACCCCCCCCCCCAACGTTTAGATGAAATTTAAGTTTTGGCTCCTTATATTATGATTTTTGAATTCATCCTTGCCAATGGCTTTGAGTCTTAAAAAGTTATGTTGAAGGCATAAGTGGCACGGCTCGTGCTGGTAATGAACTGAATCTTATCTTTATTTTAGTTTTCTTTTATCTTTATTCTTTTGGACTAACACTTCGTTTCATGCCAAAGCATATATTTTAAAAATAAGATATTACAATGTTTAATAACTTTATACACACTTAATAGGATAAAAAGATAAAAATAGATAAAAAAATCTTAAACATGCTCTATACATAAAACAACAAGATTGATACGAAAGTATTTACCATTCAATATTAATGTCAATAAGAGATAAAAATGAAATGAGATTCAATTTTAAGATAATGCAATTGTTTTAATTAATATATTTATTGAATTAGCTAGAAGCGAATTATTAAAAATATAAACGTGAATAAAATTATAAAATTATAATATTTTTTAAAAATGTGATTTATCTATAATTTTTAACAATTGATAGATGATAGAAGCCATTCTAATTGCTTCCTGTTATATGTTTTATTATGGGTTCTTGATATTTGTTGAATATAATAATCAACGAAAAAATAACTTGTGTGGCTCTATTTCGAAATATAATTAAAATAGAAATATTGGCTAAATGGACATAATAAATATTAAAAAAAATCTTTAATAAATAATAACTACGGGATGGTAAACATGAGATAAGATGTATAAATAGATAGTATTTGAATTTTATTGATATCAAAAGTGAAAAAATCCTAAATAAACAAGTCTTACACGCTTAAATTTAATTACGTTATTTAATTAAATGATGGGTCGTATTAATCATTAGCTGCATTATTCATCAATTATGAATGCCGCAAATTTTATGAATTTTGTTTAGTATATAGTATATTTTATTAGTTCCATCATTTAAGATAATAAAGTTAAAAACTGAAAAAAAAAAATCAAATTCAATGGACGAATGGAAGTATCTCAGCGACGTCCTGGTAATTGAGGCGTTGGAAAGCTTGTCATGGAAGAAAACAAACAGAAATGCCTTAGCAACCAAGAGTCCAAGACTGCCTGTGACGTCAGCCTCCCCACATGAGGTCACCTCTTAGGTCACCCCCTGGATTTGACTTTTTCATCTTATATCTTTAACTCGGCTTAATCCATGGAATCAATTCAAATAAACTTGGACGTAACCCTGACATATTATTTATTTAAAAGAAAAGTCAAGCAGAGATTTTCTCCCTTTCCTTGGAGATAAAGTTTTACAATATATTATTATATAATACTACTCCCCATCCTTGATACAAAGTGAAATTAACTAATTTTATACTTATTAAAAATAATCTTTCTGCTTAAAAATATAAAATATTTTTTAAAAAGTTAGATATTAAAAAATATAAAATATTTTTAATTTTTTAAAATATAATCATTATTTTTTAAAAAAATATCCCTATTGATAATGATTTTATTTTATTGTCGGGTGTTTAATAGGAATAAATATAAAAAAATAAGTTAATTTAAAAGTAGGTAATCATTTTATTAAGGTGTAAGATTAGGTTAAAAATAACTTACATTTTTAATAGATGAAGTATTAATTATGTTAATAATAAGTTGAGCCAATTATAAGTTATAAAGATACTCCTTCCATTTAATATTATAACATAATTTTTAAAATATCATGTTAACAAGAATAAGATATTTTGAATCTTTTGAGATGTAATTAATAAATTTTTAAAAATTAATCTTAATTAAAGGGTGTGCTTAATAAGTTTTTTAATAAAACATCATATTAAATAATGACAAAATAAAAGTAATGTTTTTGACAAAAAACAGGAAAATAATATATAACTTTGAATACAGTTGATTAATTTATTAAGAGTGTAATTTAATTAAAAATGTATGTTAAAAAATGTATCATTATGAAATAAATGTCATACCCGAAAAGATTATGCATAAGGAAATATTTTTGTTATAGTAATTTATACATAGCACAAGCGTTTGTTTTTGTATTATATTTACTTTTTAAAAAAATATTGTAATTTCCATAGAAAATTAAAGAGGTCTAAATCCATGGAACTTAATGCCAGAAGAGGGAAATCGTGGTTATCAATGAGGCTCAGCATTCTAGAATCAACCAAAGAAGGTAACACGCAATTGCCTGAAGAAAGGTGCGTGTGAAAAGTTAGAGCACGTGGAGCGTGTGAACAATCCGAAGAAAAGCCACTGTAATAATCTAATTAAGAAAATCAATTTTTGCAACTTCCATCCGAGTGGACGAGTACGGTTGGCTTGGGCTAGTGGCTCACCCGCCACCAACACCAACATTCACATAAGCGCGTATAAAAGCCTACACACGCGCGTATTCCTCCACCTTCATCATCTCCAGTAGATCCCTCCATCTCTAACCCCAATTCAAAATCTCTACATCAATTCTACAAATTCTCACTGTTCGATAGATTTTGAGTATAGAAAAGAATGATGCAATCGGTTTCGGTTTTACCTTCTTCTAGCACGTTCACGGATTCAAGTTCTTCCACGATTCACGATGAAATTTCCGGGGATTTTGCTGAAAATATGAGGGCCAAGTTGAAGATTGATGATGTGATCCACGAGGGAGAGCAAGAACAAGAGGACGAAGAGGAGGAATTCAGCTTTGCTTGTATGATCCCCGATGGATCGCCGATTTCGGCAGGCGATGTGTTTGAAAACGGCCAGATCCGACCTATGTATCCTATTTTTGACACAAGTCTTCTCTTCAGCGAGGAGTATGAGGGCTCCTCCACGCCCCGGCCGCCGTTGAAGAAGGTCTTCGTGGAACAACGCGGTCAAGTTTCGTCTTCGTCGTCGTCTGAATCGGAAGAACCTGATGGCCCACCGGAGGGGTCGTATTGTGTATGGTCTGGGAAAATGGCGGTGGAGGCCTCGAGTGCGAAATGCAATAAGAGCAATTCCACGGGCTTCTCCAAGCTGTGGAGGTTCCGAGAAACGAAGCTCCGGAGCAACAGCGACGGCAAGGACGCTTTCGTCTTTTTGAACCCGTCGGACAGTAAAAGCACCGCTAACCCAAAAAGCTCCGGTGCTCAGTCCGAAAAGGTAGCGACAATGAAGGCGAGCTCCGGCGAAGCCAAGAACGTCGTGGTAAAGAAAGTCAAGGGAGGGAATAGTAAAACGACGTCGTCGGCACATGAGAAGCATTATGTGATGAGCAGAGCGAAGAAGGAAAGTGATAAAAGGAAATCGTATTTACCATACAGACAAGGTCTGGTTGGGATCTTTGCGAATGTGAATGGACTGAGCAGGAACGTTCATCCCTTCTGAGTATGTTCGTCCCTGTATTAAAGTGCTAATTTTAGTCATTAAGATTATTATTTATTGAGTATCGTGTAAATGTTGGTTAGACGGTAGAAGAGGCCATTTTTGTGCTGGGTCTTCAATCTTTCTTTTTCTTTCTTTTTTTATTTGGCAGTGGGATTTCCTTCTTTGTGAGACTATGGTTTCTAATTCCCTAGGGATTATGTACAATATTGATGTTGTGTAATTAATTATGGATCCAATGGAAGGAAAAAAAACAATATTTTCTGCAATTTGTGCTGCGTGATTGATATAGGATAATTTCGGTGGGGGCAAGGTGCATGGTTTTAGTTTCGATGAATGATATAAAGCTATTCAGTTAAAAAAAGTCTCAATCAAATATACCAATAAGTTTTCTTTATATTAAAAAAAAAGTTCACATAATCCTCATAAAAATTTCACTTGCCCCCTTAAAATTTTCATTTTGCCCCAACCCAAAAAAAAAAAATGTATGTTTTAACCCATTTATTTATTTTTAGATGAAACATATATATCTAAAAATATAGTTTTCTATTATTTTGATTATAAAACTATACTAGTTCTTTAATAATTAATTTTAGTAAATTTTATTCTTTATACTCATTTAATATTTTTATAAAATTTTAATATTTATATTTGGTTAAAAGTTGTCTCCACTAACTAAATTTTTTGGGCCGTCATTAGTTTTAATTATAATAATTGAATTTCATGAATTTTTAAAAGTTATTAAGATACTTTTTTAAAAAAATTAAAATAACATTCACAATTAAAAAATTTCACATGCACAGCATTTTCTCTAAAAATTTGAAATTTTTTTGTTTTTTAAATATCATATGACAAAATTATTGATAGTCATTTAATTAAATTGGACAGTTATTATGTCAAATAAAGTATTTTACTGAGACAGTGAATTTGTGCCATCCACTCAATTCAAATCCTACATACCAGAGATAGCAGAGTTCTTGGAGTAGACACTAAAAAAAAAAAAAAAAAACCAACAAGTTAAAACCTCGCCAATTAGGCAATTACTTGCAAATACAGTCAACTTATATAGATCATATATGGGCCTAGTATGTGTTTAGAGTTGTATAGGCCCCCTCAAGCACACACTTTTTTTGGTATTTTTTTTTTACCACTTGTTTTTGGTATATTAAAGATCTAGCAAAAATAAAACGGATACCAAATTTAATAAAAACATGGAAGTAGATTTAAATCCCACGTGTAATCTTTAAGAACAAGGGCCCTGGCATGATAAGCAACCATATGTAGGTCATGCTAGGGCCCTTATTCAGAAAAAGGCCTGTTGGTGCTTGTTAAAAGTTAGGCCTCGGTTGTGGGCTTTTGCCAGAGCAGGATCAGGTTGGGCTTTCTGTTCTGGAATTTGAACTTGACATTTTTTATTTCGGCCTACTATATAATATGACATTACATTATTAGATTGCACATTATTTCCTCCAACTATAATATAAGGAATCTTCAAAAAGTCTTGTTCCCTCTGGACTATAGAATATTAAATAATTTTATAATTAATTTTCTAATTACACCCTTATGTCATTTATTACTCGTTTAAAAAAATATTAAAATTTCAATTGTCATTATTAATGCATTTATATAATATATTTAATAAGAATATAATTGAAAAGATGTAATATTTTATAAGAAATTAAGATTTCACCTGATTTTTTTCGAGAACAATGAAATAGTTGTCAATACTATATACTATGATGCAAACTCCAAGGGAGTATGTTACTTCTTCTGGATCAAAATATAGAGTATTAATAACTAATTACAGTTCTAAAACATATGAGTTTAAACTTTAATTTCTTAAAAAAAATTGCATATTTTCAATTATACCTTCATTGGATACCATATATAAGTGCCTTAATAATGATAATTAAAATTTTAATATATCATTTTTTAAAAAAGAGTAATAAATGAAGTAGAGGTATAGTTAGAAAAATAATTACAAAAGTTACCCAAAGCCCTAAACTTTAGATCAAGTGAAGTTTTCTAAAAAATGTTTTATATTATAGTTTAAGGGGAGTATATTATATGCCAATATATAATGTGTGTGTGTGTGAAAAAAAAAAGAACCAATAGCAAAAACAAAAAAAAAAAACAGAGAGACTTCTCCTAATTAATTAAACAACCTCTTCTAATTAATAGACTTATTGAGGGTTAATTTAAAATTTTAAATTCATTAACTAATTTTAACTCAACTTCCTGATCCATATGCAGATATCATTATATACATGGCTATGATGTCAATAAGAAGGACCGATAATTTAAGAAATTACGATGAACAATGTCAGAGAGATGTGGGTCAAGAATGTCTGGCATCATTGGCAATAACTGATGTAGAGTAGCCCACGTAAACAGAACAGGCCCATTAAAGATGAAGGCAAAACCAAATTCACAGAATGTTGGAGCAGGAACCAAAAACGTTCGGACAAGACAATTTGTCTTTATCTGAGCTCAAGGACATAACATTATGCCAGATGTTCCCTCTTGGCTCTTGCCATCATCACTGGCTTCAAAATGTAGATAAGGAAGAAGTAGCTGAGATGCCTCTATCACCAGCTAACTAACTCTTCATTTTCTCTCTCTCGCATTTAGTTCTTGGCCGAAGGGAAAAACAAGTTCCAATTGGGTGTGGCTGTCGTCAAAGAAGCTGCTTTTTGGTACTTTCTTCCTCTTCGTCTTCCTTAATTTTTTCCAGAGACTCTCAGGGAATAGTGTCAGTGTATTGATTATTCACGGGCGCGTCTTTGTTAAAAGTTTGTGCCGTTCAATCTACCTAACCTTTTCCCCACCCTCATTTTATAATGGGATCAGTTACCAGGGTGATTCAATTTCAAACGTTGCTCAAATTTCAGGGTTGAAAGTTGACAAGACATGTTTTTTTAACTCGTAATAAATAATTTTATTTTTTTATTCAATCAAAGATGACAGTCATTTGGGTATATTCATGACTTCCTTGATTATTTGATTTTAATAACCCTTATTATTCAGTAGTCTATGATTTCATTATTGATTTTTTTTTTTTCACTTGTATAATTCATTCATCAAGTTTTTATACAATGCCCACAGTTAAACTAAAGTTTAGTATTTCTTTTTATTTTAAGAAAAATACATATTTTAAAAAAATACATAGATAAGATAACTTTTAGTTTATCAACATTCTCTCTATTATCAGTTTAGTTTTTGAATTTTAACACTTATTTAATTAAAAAATTAAAGATATTGAGTTGTAGTAAGTTAAGAAACTACAAATGTTTTGTTGTGAGTTAAAATTTAACAACTGATTGGTGGTTGAAAAAAAAAATAGAGAACAAAAGTTACATTTTCAATTTTTCACACCAAAAAAATGTGGAATCTTATCAAAATTCAACCCATAATATATACTCTCCTTCATTAAAAAATATAAAATATTTTTAATTAAATTTTATCATCTAATAAAATAATTACTTGTTTTTCAATTAATTCTATCTTTCTATATTTATCTCTATTTAATATAGTATTTTAGCTTAAAATAAATAAAAAGTAATTTATTCAATATAGGTACTTTAAAAAAGTAATAATTATACCTTAAAAAATTAAAAATATTTTATATTTTTAAATATTTAATCTCTCAAAAAATATATTTTAATAGAGGGAGCATGTGTGTATGTTGGTGGCTACTTTCAATCTTATGGTTGTTTAAATCGAAATTCATTTTCTGTGGATGAACTGTATGGTTTAGTCCAAAGCAATATAAAAAGAGCAAAATAATGTAAACTTGTTGACTTATTTGAATTATTAGCTAAAATAATTGTGACCATATGATATTAAATTAAATTGATTGATTAGGCGTGGTTAGCAGCGGGAGTCAAGGGGATTAATTGCCAGACAGACATGGCTGCAACAATTAAAAAGTGCATGATGCTGTGTTGTATCAGCAAGACTGTGTCGGTGCGCACCCTTTCTTTATTCCTTTTGAATCCAAACGTTGACGTTTTGAGCCAATTCATGCTGAAAAAAAGGCATTTAAAAAATAGAGGAAGTGTGAAATATATTGCATTTTTTTACCTGTTGTGGTTATTTATAAGCTAAGTTAGGTCACCGGGATTTCAATCACCGAAGTTAACAAGGGTTATGTAACTCGGGTAAAGCAAATACTTCCTTCGGTTCATATAAGGCACTTTCAATTATTTTATCAAAATTAAAAATGTATAGGTTTTTTTTTTACCAACAATCAAAAAGGTATAGTTAAGTTATTAATTTTATCTGAAAATATAATAAATTTTTAATTTTATTTATATTTAAATAAAAAATTTTAAATTTACATTATATTTTTTCTCATATTTAATAAATTTAAATAGAAATAATATTAAAAAAATAATAAATATCTAATAGTCTGCCTTTTGTTAAGTATAAAAGAAAAATATTTTTAAAGGTGCTTTATAATCAGGATTAGAGAGGATAAAAGTATTAATCATAGTGAAAGAATATATAATTACCTAAGCAGAAAATCTCATATTTAAATTCATGTGAATACAAAAAGTTATTTTCAATTGAATTCAGCAATGCTCGATGACCTATTCAAATAATAAGACAAAAATAGTTAGTATATATGATTTAATAATTCATTAATAATAACACCATATTTTAACTTAATGAGCCAGTTTTTTGTTTGTTTTCTTGGGCTTTGTGCTCGTTGGACCAAGTGATGAAATTTTGATGAACATTGTATTATTATTATGAGCATTCTAGAAAAAAGCCATGACTTATATGAGTCATTTTTTTATTATTTCGTGCAATACTTAATGAATTATTGCGAACATGTCCTCCTACTATATGTAATTCCAATATAAAAAGCATTTAATGATAAAGTTTGTGGGGAATAAAAATATATAATATGAAGAAAAATTTTTAAGTAGACTAAGTACATCATGTAGTTTGTAATTTACTTAATAAAAATATGACATTTAAATTATATTAAATATAAATTAATTTTAACATTAATAATAATAAAAATATGTAAAAAATTGAATATGTATTTTGTTATAAGAAAAAAGTAAATTAAAATAATATCACAATATTTTATTTTGATGATTTAATATATTCTAATTGGATAGATAAAAAATGATGTGACACATCTGATCTACTTAAAAATTTGTTATGATAAGGGATTTAATTTGAAGGAATATTTTATTCATGAATAAAGTGTCTTTTTTATAAAAAAGGAATAAAAAATATATAATGATTTAATTAATTTGAAGATAATTTTATTACTTCCACGGTCCTTAGTTATAATGATTTAATTAATTAGAATTAACTATCAAGTAGAATGGACTTTTATACTCCCTACACTCCAAATTACAAGATACTTTTGGAGGAAATTTGACATTTTAAAATATAAAGCACTTTAAAAAAATTTAAATTTTATTAAATATGCTAATTCTAATACTAGTCTTTCTCTTTTGTTTAATTGTTGTCCCTCTCTCTTTTCAATGTATGAGAGGAAGGATGTTTTTTTGAAGTTTATATTTGTATTTAAAAAAATAAAATTATTAAGTATATTTAATACAGCTTATTGATATGTAAGCAGTGAGATTTTGTTTAAAAATATTTTATAATTTGAAATAGATGTAGTAGTATTATAGGAGCCGAGGGGCTAATTTGTCAAATAATATCCTTATTTGCTACCACAAGACATCATTCAAAAAATTGCTCCATATATATCCGCATGTATAAGATATTTTTAATTAAATTGTGCAAATTAATAAGAATTGTTTATTTAATTAAAAGCACAATAATATTTTAATTTTATCCTTAATTATTGTAAATAAAAAAATAAACCTCTTTTTTTAAAGTACTTATCTAATGAGAGTACTTATTTTTTTTAATTCAATAAAAATATAATCATCCATTCATTAAAAATATGCTAACTTTTTATATTTAGACATAAAAAAAATTTATAAAATTTCTTATGTATAGGGGCTGAGGGAAATACTCTTATAGTTAGAGATCAAAAAATAATTTTATAAGATTTTTATCTTATAGTTAGAGATTTAAAAAAAAGATTTTATAAGACTTTTTGTGTATAGGGATGCATGTTTTTCATCTCAATTAAGTCAACTTTCTCCATAAATTTTCTTCCACTCATGTTCATTCGCGACCGAAGACGACAAATAGAAATAAAATTAAAATTAAATTGAGAGAAAGTTATATTCCACAAGTCAACGTCCTATTCTACTCGGCTATACCTTTCGTAATTTCAATAATGGAGGCAGTCCCACTACCCGACCCAGTCCATTTCTTTGCACGCCAAGTCGCGCCATCCTTGTCACCTTTCATTTCCGCTACTTTTTAATTCACTTTTAATTTAATTTAACCAATTAATCAATACTCCTATTAGTGTTCTCCCCCATATACTAACCCTCCATAACAAATCCATTTTAAGATTAGATAATTGAAAAAATATTAATTTTTTGAGTGTGAATAAAGAAATTCTCTCATGTTTGAAGCTAATGCAGTGTTGTGTGTCTAATATAAATGCACACCCGCTTTCAGCGGCACACATTGCGTGACGACCTTATTTCCTCTTCTGCTGTCTCCTAAAACGGCACCGTTTCTCCCATTCACCCACGCTCCTCCCTCCCTCCCTCCCTCCCTCCTCCTTTTTGCAGAATAACAGAACAGGACAGGATCTTCTTGCCCGCTCTACATTCAGACCAATTATTCGCCACCACTTCCGCTTTTTGCTTTGAATATTCTGAATGATTCAATTTCTTCTTATTCATGAATCTCGCTGCTATTCAATTCTGCTGTTATTGTCTCTATGAGATCATGATCGTTGTCGTCTGAGACGAGATTGACTTTAATTTGCGATCGTGGAGATTTAATCTCATAGCTCCCTCTGGCTTATCTGATATATGCGAACCAATCTAGTTTAGATTCCGTGAAGATTTTCTCTCGTATTAATTGATTTCTGTTTGGAGTAAACAGAAGGAAGACATGGCAGGACAGTCTTACGAAGAAGCCATTGCAGAGCTGAAGAAGCTTCTCAGGTAAAGTATATAATAATTATTTGATCATCTTTCGTTCTTCAATTCTCATACCTGTCTTAACACAAATCAGCTCTTGTTCTTCGGGTCGTTTCACCTTCATCCACTACCACAACAAACAAATTAACTATGTTCAAGCAGATCGCGTTCGTGGTGGTGCTAATTTTGCGTTCAGCAAGTGGGCCCCGTTGCCCCAAACTTGCAGTGCTGGTGGGGCCGACGCTTGCCTCACGCGTTTTTCCGGTTGTGTGTAATGGCTTTTTTGAACTTTGAACTTTTCTCCTGCAGTGAGAAAGCTGACCTCGGGGGCGTTGCCGCCGCAAAGATCAAGCAGCTGACAACCGAGTTGAGCGCCGCCGGTTCAAAGCAGTTTAACCCGGACGAGAGGATGCGAGCCGGCTTCACTCAATTTAAGAAAGAGAAATTCGAGTAAGTACGTCGCTTCGCGTCGTTTAATTTGATTTTAGTCTGTAGAGTAAAATATTGAAGCCGGACTGGAACCTTGCTGTGGTCCTGTCCTGGCTGGAACCTGGAACATGCTATGTTATTTTGGTGTGAAATACCGTAACTGTCCTTGTTCGGATTTTTGACGGTGTAGGATTATCATTGGATTATGTTTATATGTCTGCTTGCTTATTTATCAGCCGAAATGGCTATCATATTTACTGAGTGGGACCCGATAGAAAGTGACACGTCATAGTGGCACCAATCAGAGGATCGAAGCAAAAGCGAAATTGGCGACAGCATGAGAAAATTTTTTGAGTGTTTAACCACGAACTTATGGGCATGATCGTGATTTTTTGATCATTTAGATAAAGTAGGGACCTCACGTTGCGTTTCGATCCACCGTACACGCGTTTTGAAGTTTTTATTTTATTTTATTTAACTGGATAACTGATAGAGAAATGTATTTTCACTTTCGATTTTATTTACTTTCCAAAGTTCGTCACATGTAATACATGTTGCACATTACAGTGTTTGTTTTGTCTTCTCTCAGGAAGAATCCAGATTTGTTTCGGGAACTTGCCGAAGGCCAGAGCCCAAAGGTTAGCGTCTCAGCGACGTTACGGTCAATCACCAGTAAATTTGTTTTTAAAATTAATGCAAATAAATGAATTAAAAGGCATTTCAAATCCGTTGGAATTGTGGTTTAAATATGCAATTTATCGAGACAATCACTGTCCAGATGTTCAAGATGATCACATATTTTAATTTTTTTTATGCTACTGGTACATGACTTATGACACTCAGCAGCAGCAGCAGATAATAATAATAATAATAATAATAATTTACTTCATGTTTAAGCAACGTAGTTGTGGACTTGTTTGTGGCCAGAAGATGAGCATTATTGCTGCTGTTGCTGCTTCTTCTTGTTGAAATTTTATATTACATGACTCATTATATAGTCCACTAAACTTTGATCAAGTCAAAGTTATTCTCCATAAAGAATTAAAGCAACATCTGGGTCCATAAATTATGCCAGATTGTTGATATTAACCTTTTCTGTTTGGAATTTGTAGTTACTAATTAACAAAACTTCCTCTGAACTGATGAAAATAATATTATTTTGGTGCAGTTTTTGGTATTTGCATGCTCAGATTCCAGAGTTTGTCCGTCGCATGTACTGAATTTCCAACCGGGTGAGGCTTTTGTGGTGCGAAACATCGCCAACATGATCCCACCTTACGATAAGGTTTGATTTCTCATTGAAACATTTGGATAGGCGTGTGAGAGAGAGAGAGAGAGAGAGAGACACACACACACACACACACAACACAAGCTCTCCGCAATTATGCGTGTTTAATTAATATTTGAGTAAATATTACAAATAATAAGAAAGAAGATATAAGCTACTCTATTTTTAAGATTTTTTAAAATTAAATTACATGGATCCCTCTTCTATTCTTTAAACGAACAAATTTCTCTTAAAATTACATATAAGATACGTTTGTAAAGATTTTGAAATAAAAAAAATGTTTTCCCCCTTAAAACTCAACAAAATTCATGTAATTTATTATGATATTGGGGTTGCCTATGATATCTCAAGAAAAATGAATTCCTTAAGGTTGTGTTTGGATGGATAGATTTGAGTTGAAAATTTGAACTTGAAATCTCATAGTTAAAATTCATAAATTTTAAATTATTTGTTTGAATGATATAAAAAAATTTTAAATTATAATATTAAAATATTTTGTTTGGATCTCAAATACAATTTTAAAATTCAAATTTCATATTTGAATTTAAAGGCAAGTTAAAAGACATTGAGGTCCACTCTTAATCAAAGTTAGTGGTCCAGTCCAAATCAAGAGTGACGGCCCAGTCTCGATCAACTTTGGTTGTCCAAACCCAGATGTCTTTAGCGGTCTAGTCTCAATCAATAGTGGTTTCTCAATCTCAGTCAACATCAGCATCCTGATCCTAAATAATGTTTACAAATTAGCACAGGATGATTACAATAATACAAGGGCTACAAATTGGACATGACTAATGACAACAGATCATTTCCTGTTAATAATGGTAATCATAAACCGATCCTAAACTACGATGATGATTAGGTCTTGGCTAGCGTCGTTGGTCCGATCCTATCCCAGTAGGTGCTGGCTATGCCATCTTAGTCGGCTCCAGCTGTGTAGTCTCGATCATCATTGACGGTTTAGTCTTAGTCAAAGCTGGTCGTCTGGTCTTAACCATTACTAATGGTTAAGTTTAGGTTGGTGTTGGTGATCCAGTTCCCATCACAGCTAGTGGTCCGTTCAGTCTATGCTAAAGCTAGCATTCGATCCCTATCAAAATTAATCATCAAGTCTTGGACATCACTAGTGATCCACTCTTAGTCAATGTTAGCAATTCGATTTTGATTGGCTCCAACCCTCTAATCTCAATCAGTGCAAATTCAGCCTCAGTCACAATCGTCGGTCCAATACTTATCACAGCCAACTGTCGGGTCCTAGTTATAGTCGTCAATCTAGTGTCAGTCACAGTTGGGCCATCTAGTGCTAATCGACTCTAACCCTTTGGTCTTGGTCATTCGGTCCTAGTTGGTGCTGATGGTCAGGTCCTTGTTAATATCAGTAGTTCAATCTTGGTCAAAGACGGCAGTCTGATCCTACTTTGTGCCATCCGCATGATCCTAGTTAAAGTCAGTTGTGCAATCCTAACTGGTGCTAGTGGTTTATTCCTTATCAGTGTCGGCAATTAGGTCCTAGTTGGTACCAGTTTTCTAGTCCAAATTGACGCTGGTAGTCTAATCCCTATGAATGTCAGTAGGAGGTGGCGATGTCAAAGTCAAGAAGATACTAAAATCGATGAATGAACATGAAAGAAGAGAGAAGCTTCAATTGAAATTTGAAATAATAGAGATTTAAAAAAAATTTAAAATTATAAAAGTATTGAAGTAGGATTTGGATTTGAATTTGAGTCAAATCTAAATCTACACATTTTTAACTACCCAAAGTCTCAAACAATATATTTGGCTGAAATTCAATTTCACATACATCTAAACATAACATAAATTTACTTCAGTTATCTATTTAACAAGTTAAGCTTAATTTTTATTGACAAGATATAATTTAAAAAAATCTATAGGATCAAATCAATAAAAATTAAATTTAAAATATTAAATTAATAATTGAGTTGAACTTGAGGATTAAAAGTTTTACTATCTCAAAATTATACATAAGATACGTTTATATAGGTCTTGAAATAAAAATAAAGTTTTTCTTTAAAATTAACTCAACAAATTTCAAGCAAATTCTTATTACTCTAATTCTATGAGTATCTTCCCATTGGACTTTAGTATGGCATTTTAAGAAACTCATGTTTGTTATTCTTGCAGACTAAATATTCAGGAACAGGAGCAGCCATTGAATATGCAGTGTTGCATTTAAAGGTAAAAATTATTCGTTTTTATTAATTCTGATATATTCTCCTTCTTCTTCTCTCCTTTAATGGTGCGGTAGGTCATGTCAAATAATGTACGAACGAGTTTCGTGAGATTGACAATTTGTGGTGCAGCCTCTATTATTTGCTGGAGTCCTCACGCGTTTCATGAAATATTCTTTATGTTTTAATAAAAAAAATATATTTATAAGTTTTTATAATTTCACTCAATTTTAAATTAAATTTTTATAATTTATTTTATTTTAATTAAACTTTCATAATTTAATTAATTAATTTTTTTAATTATTGAAAATTAAAATTCTTAAATTTTTTATTAAAAAATTAAGAACTTCTATATTTTTATTAAATGATTATATAACATTAAAATTAATTATATAACTTTTATAATTTAAAATTTATTTAATTAGGTTATCTTCTAAAGATTTTTTATATATGTAGAATTTTCATTAAAAATTATAATAAAAATATAAACAGTGGATTAAATTAATTTTTTTAATTTAGGCTAAAAGTATTAAATTAAGTTTTCTGCAAACTCTAAAAGTATTTTTGTTTTTTAAATTTAATAATTTATTATTAATTTTAATCTTCAGAGATTAATACATATAATAGATAAAATTATGAGGGTTTTATTAAAATAAAATAAATTGTAAGATTTAATTTAAAATTGAGTGAAACTGGAGAGACCTATAAATATATTTTTTCTTTAATAAATCCTTATATATTTTGTAAAATGCATGTGAATGAGTTATCATAAGATCATTTGGAAAAAAAAAAAAAAAAAGCAGCCACCTACCACACCAAGTCACATTTTTTATATGGTGAACTTTAAGTTAGATTGAGGGAATTCACGATTCATCACCTGCCAAAGCCACGTCCACCTTCCCTTCAGAATCGATCTCCAATCAAAAAGAAAAAGAAAAAGTGATAAGATGTGTGGTGCCAGCGCACACGCACAGGCACACACACATATGGATATATAAATTTTAAAAAAAATTATTTTTTTAAATAGTATACCTTCAAAAAATAATTTTTATTCAAAATAGAGAAAACTTTATAATCATTAAACTATTTCGTTTTAATTTTTTTCTTTCTTAATTAATATAAAAGTATTTAATATAATTATATTATTATTTAAAATTAAAGATAAAAAGAAGAGTACACATCATTTTTTTATGATATCAAGATAAAAACTAATTTTTTTAATATGAGTAAAATAGTTTAAAGTATCTTACAATAAAGACTGAAAGAAGTATGTGGTTATGAGCTTGTTGTTGGCTAGCTAGTTACAACATTTTTTTAGTTCCAAAATAATTTAGTTATATTATTAAAAAAATATCATATGTTGTTAAGAATCAGATAACAATTCAAATGAATCCTAAATTATAAAAGGAAAAAAAACTAAATTAATTTGCTATTATTTTTTCTCAATTGTTGGTATTATTTCCTGCAGTTCTTGGCGCTGTGTGGGTGTGTGTGTGTGTTTTGAATTGTAATAGAAGAAAAATGTGAATGTATAGGTGGAGAATATAGTGGTGATTGGACATAGCTGTTGCGGAGGTATAAAGGGGTTAATGTCGATCCCAGATGATGGGACCACTTCAAGGTAAGTGATCCCAATTATCGTTGGCATCTTTCTTCTTATCTTTTTAAGAATCTTGTAATCACAAACTATAAATTAATACCGTGCCTTTTATCACTTCCAAGTAAATGGCTGCTTCCTTCTTTTTCAGAGACTTGAACATTAAGCAGGGTATATATATATCTTTCCTTAACGTGTTTGACATATAAGAACTCAATAAAGCGGATATCAAGTTATCAAACTCTGAACCCCCCCCCTTTTTTTTCTTTTGAATTCGGTGGCGGTGATCATGCTGTGTGAAAATTTTGCAGTGAATTTATCGAGCACTGGGTTCAAATCTGCAATCCGGCAAAGTCCAAGATTAAAGCAGACACAAAAAGCTTGAGTTTCTCGGAGCAGTGTACTAACTGCGAGAAGGTAATTTAATTAATTAGCTGAATTATAGACCATAACTCGATTAGTAATTATAATTAGTAATTAGATTAATCTGTAAAGGTATGAATTTCTAATAATCCCTCAATTTTTTTTTTCAAAATTTTACTCTTAACCTAACTTTTCCCATAGAAAAGGGAAACACACGCACCCACACACACATACAAGTATATCAATATTAGATTCAAACTCAGGACCTCTTTTAAAAGAGGGAGATGATGTTATTATTAAGATAACTGATCGTTGGCACTAATAATCCCTCAATTACTCGTATATGAATGCAGGAAGCAGTGAATGTGTCGCTTGGAAATCTGCTGAGTTATCCATTTGTGAGAGATGGGGTCGTGAAGAAAACACTTTCACTAAAAGGTGCTCATTACGATTTTGTTAATGGCAACTTTGAGCTATGGGATCTCGACCTCAATATTTCACCTCTTTCTTTTTAGACTTTGTATTTTTGGTTTTCAAACCCAGTAAAATTATTACTGATGTATATTATATAGTACTCTTTCTAATTTCAAAGCTATTTCACGAATTGCTTGCATGGCTCCCGAAGATCCCATGTGAGTTAAAAAATAATAATTATCTATGAACTTGTGAACTGTAAAGGCACAAGATTCCGCAAGCTTTTATTTATGTGCCCTTGTATCCACAAGAACCATTCTGATTTCTTGTTATATATTATTGTTGCTTCTTCTGCCACAAATCTGAGCAATTTGATTGATTGATTGATCTGAATGCCTGACATCCTTTTCAACCAAAACCATTATGATGAGAAATTAGCCACATCAATATTTTTTAAAAAAGAATTAATAAGAGCTACATCGATCTTGTGACTCATTGAGAGTGCTATTTGCCAAAGTATCTATTGATATTTGCTTGCAAGGAGGTGTTTTATCTGCCACCTTTTGGCATAGAGAAAACAAAACGGTAAATGTACATTTATGATCCTCAAACTATATAGTTTATATGGAATTTTGATTTAACTCCGTAATTTAATAAAATACCTCTTTAATTTTTTAACAAAAAATGTTAGCGCTGCAATTTTAAATGATAACAAATAATTCTCAAATGATGATATTTTAATCAAATATTTTATTTTTAAAATTAAATTTAATATATCTGTATTTAAAATATATTTTACTATTTAAAATTTTAATGTCAACTTTTTTTGTCAATCTAAAACCGGCATTGTTAGAGTTGAGAGATTAAAAAAATATTTTATAAAATTAATGAGTTGAACTAAAACATTAGATAAAGTTAAAAAATTAAATATATTGTTTAACCAAAACAAAGCCAATCAAGTCAATTAAGCATTTTTGTTATTAACAATCAAGTAAGCATTTTTTATTTTACCTCCGACCAATTCAAGAAAGTTCTAGCAGGTACAATACACACAAGAAACAATAAATTAAACTATTTTTTAAAAATGCAAACGTATTTTGAGTAGGCTTTTTCTACTTTCCTTGAGGCAACTTTTGTTTCTTTCGTTAAATCCTCAAAGACCATTCTCATCTCTTCTTGCACATGTTGTTTCTTCCTCCGCACTTTTCGACTTATGTGTCATTGAGATTCAAGCGAATTGATGGACTCTAAAATTCCTAATATCCACGAATGGCATTAAGAGAACAAAATCAATCAAAAGGCTCCTATTTTCGCCTAAACAACCTAAAACAAACAAATATTCAACTAGGTAACGTTTAAATTGGTATATTTGGATTTGGATTCTAAATTTTAAATCTTGCAATTCAAGTTTCATATTTACACTATACTATGCATACTTATTGATTACATTATACTATATATACTTACTTATATAATCCTTTTTTTATATTTATATATATTATTAGTATAAAACCAAAACTTCGTTATATTTAGAGTATATAGATATATATTTTCTATGAGTTTTTTAGAGGACACCTTAAGGCCCAATAACTATTTTTAATCCCCCGAGACACTGAACCGGAATTTCATGAGCATTAGTCCTATAAAAAAAAAAAGGCAGGTGGATTGAGCTGTGAATTTTGCCATCTACAGTATTTTCCTCGCGTTTCATGCGTAGACCGGGCAGTTTAATCATGAGTCTGAGAATTTGAGCATTTAGCCAAACAAAACAAAAAAAAAAAAATCTTAAACGAGTATAAGGGTTAGACCACTCTTAATCTTGACTACGCTAACTTCCTGGCCTTGGGAGGAATTCATTTGGTGAAAAAGCTCTATCAGAGGCCCTACTATTATACGAACTTCCATTGCAAAAACAACAAGAATCACTCACAAAGAGAAGGCTCCTAACAATATGCAAGACAAATTAGATTGAGAGAAAAAAAAGGGTGGGTTGACTGAATTTTCAAAATTCTATCTCATAGTGATTTTACTAGTTGTATTAAAATAATAAATATGTTTCTATTAAAAAGAACTAGCTCATAATTAAATTTCTTTTGAAGTGATTGTTGCCATCAATAACTCCGCTTATGTCTAGAGCTAGTCCTAACCTTAAGTAAAGGAGGAGGATTGTGTTAGACTTTATTAAATCTAACATAAATATAGATAATAGACATTTTTGTATCAATGTCAAGTCGTTGCACATAAGTAATGCACTACATGGCTCAAGTGCAGTAATAAGTGAGTTTGAGCCATTGCATCAATGCCTATATGTATTATTAAATGAGCAAGGACTACCATGTTATTCTAGACGAGCGTGGCTAAAGAAGTTAAACCATATAACCTAGATTAGATTTGGTACTTGAAATGTTGAAACCTTAAATTATAAATATATGGAGGTGGTAGGAGTTATGCCCCATGAACAAGTTAAGGATATTCAAGATTTCAAACTTTAGTATGCAAAGAAAGTAAGCATGAGCGATGGGGTAGGTATCATTGTCGATAAAGAATGAAAGAAAAATGTGGTGAGAGTTAATGGAACTGGGAATAGAATTGCTTCCTTAAAAATTACTATTGGATGTGAGATTATTAATAGTATTAACACTTATATACCTTAAATTGGGACAAAAGCCAGTTTTAAGTAAATGTAATGGGAACACTTAGATGGGTTGATTCAACACATGCCAAAAAGTGAAAAAATTCTTTATTGAAGGAGACTTTAATAGTCATGTCTGGAGGGAGGCAAGTCATTGTGTGGGGGTACATGATAGTTTTGGTTTGGAGAGCTAAACAATAAAGGACAATCTATTCTTGATTTTTCGTTGACATGTGATTTTAAAATTACCAACACCTATTTCAAGAAGAGAGATGACCATTCTATCACTGACAAAAGTGAAGTCTCGAGGTCATAGATTGATTTCCTTTTAATAAGAAACACATATAAAAGACTGTGTAAAAATTATAAGGTGATTTATGAGGATATCGTAATGATACAACACAGAGTCCTTATACTTGATGTGCGTATTACAAAGTTTTGAGAGTTTAAGGATTAGGTGGTGACAATTAAGAAGTGAGAAGCAACAAATTTTTAAGCAAAATCTTTTGGCTGAAGAAATTTGAAAGTCCTTGAAAAGTGCAAGTATCTTATGGGAAGATATGACTAAGAAGAAAAGGAAGGAGTTTAAAGAAGTTTTGAGAGAATTGAAAGGTTTTGATCCAAAAAACAAAAGGCCTCTTTGGTTTCTATTATCATCTTTTGTTTTTAAAAAAATGTTTTGTAATACAATTTTTAAAATTGTTTTAAAACAAAATGAAATGAAAATCAATTGGTTATGTCAATTAAAAAACCATTTTAGAATTAAAAAATAGACTGATAGTGATGCTTATATGTAGTTAATGATAGTGATTAATAATAGAAATTGATTAAGGTAACTATAATTTTTAATAATCAAATTTAGTGTATTTTCAAAACAAAGAAAAAACAAAAACAACTTAAAGTTGTTTTTTTTTTAAAAATGAAAACAATTTGAAAAACAACTAAATAAAAAACACTAATCCTAAAAAATTTTAAATTTTTTTTGTTTTTAAAAACAAAAAAACATCTTCTAAAAACATCAAACAAATAGGCCCAAAGAGTCTTGGTGGTGGAATGTTAGTGTGCAAGAAAAAGTCAAATACAACGAGCGTTTTAAAAATATCTATTTGTGCAATAATGATAAAAATTAAAAAAAGTATCGCATGGCTAAAAAGAAAATTAAGAAAGATGTGAGTGAAACTCATTCTAAATCATTCAAAAAGTTTTATAATGGTCTTAAAATAAATAATAGAAAACAAAAATTTGTAAGAGTATGGGGGAAAAAAGAGATTTGGAACATGAAAGGTACATAAAGGATGAAGAGTGAAGAGTTTTGGTCATAGACGGTGACATTGAAGACAAATAGGAGACATACTTTTCCAAACTTTTAATTGATAGAGGAGGTTTGTCTAGTAATTTGAAAGATTTAGTAACTCATGAAAGATAACAAAATTTGTCATTCTATTAAAGGATATGTGACAGTTAGGTAAACGAAGCTTTTAAAAAAATTGTAAATGGTATAGTCAAAAAAACTTGATCATATCCCTATTAACGTGTATAAATGTTTAGGTGAAGGAGGATCGCGGTGGTTAATTAAATTATTTAACAAGATCTTACTGTCGGTGAAGCACCTTAGTTTTATTTTAGACCAGCAGCACCTTATTCTTATTGTAATATCCTTCTCCTTCTAAGTCATAATTAACTTCAAATCTCAATTAATAAAGAAATTGGATTAAGATAATTAATATAAACCAAATTACAATTGGTGAAAAAATTGAAACCCCAAGTTTACAAAGCCAAAACCATTTTCAACGTCTTGAAAATAGATAAATTAGAGTTCACAAATATGCGAAAGTATGAGATCATTACATATATGAGTACGTTTGCTTAAGAATTTGAAAACAAGAAAGTTCTAAAAAATTTTAGGGCGTGCAGTACAGCTTGCCGAACATATGTCATGGTGTGTTCACTTCTATGCCATGTGCCACGGCTTGTGGCGCCATGTGTTGCGGCACAATTGCATGATTTTTTACAGTAACTTCTGCTATTAATTTGGCAGTTTTTGGGACAACTTTTGACATGCCCTAATCCTTCTTTCGACGTACAATTGACATGAACTAGATGTCTATAGAAAGCTCTTTTTGAGATCTAACTAATGGTTTTGGTCTCATAATTAAATTATTACTTAATCAAAATTTAGACATTCTTTTCAAAACTAAGTACCTAAACCATTTACCAAAAACCAATAGTTATTGACACCAATTTGACCGCATGTAAAACATTAAAAAGAACTCATACAATGCACCATATTATATTAAACATTTATAGATCATAATTTTACTACTCAATCCCTTAATCTCAAAAACTTACAAGGGAGAGTTTAAGTACATTTTCATCAAATAATCCATAATCAACACATAATATGCTCTACTCTTACTTGCATTAGTATTTTGGCTTTATTACATAATATCTTATATTATCCACTCACTCCTTAGGGCTCAAAATACACTTACAACTCATAAACATATAATGTAAATAAGAAAAAAAAATGGATGAAACCTCGTTGGCAATTTAAATTGTTAAATACACATAATGATTCAAAAATAAGGAGGCATGCTAAATAGGATCGCAGTCCTAAGCCTCCAGAAGCTTTCCTCTATCTGATCCTATTGAGCTATTCCCTATAATATTGAAAATAATAAATATAATCACTCAATAACCAAGGTCCAACTAACTCATACTAATACATG